GTCTTGTAAATGTTTTCTTGTAGATCTTAATTTGTGGCTAATGGAGCTCTTTATTTGATCCTCCCTGTCTGTACAATCTGTACCTTTGCAGCATTTAATGCATGATACTCTAATGTAGTTGCAGTAAACTTGTGTCTTTTATTACTGTGATGTATGGGAATGTTGCAGTTACTCCAGAGTGGATTTTAATTCTAGTAAGATGCTTTAAGTAAAATAAAATAAAGCTTTATGCAAATTTACTGCCAATTTGAGATTGTGTACAAAGTACAGGTTGTACAAGTTTAATAGTCTGGTAGTGTGTTACATAAAGTCTATCTTGTGCAAAATGTGATGTTACTGTCCTTCAGTCTTTCATTCAGTCTCATGAATTAGCTGCTGAAACGTTTAAAAAAACATAAACAATTTGTCATGGTAGAGCTGTTTTTTGTCTAGTCTCTTAGAGTACATCTTCATGGCATTTTTTTCTTTACAGAGTTGAGGAAAAATGTTGTCCTATCTTAACTTCACAGGTGGTATACTGAGGAAGGAGCCTGAATGATTTGTAACAATGCTGAACACAGTAGTCTGGCCAGAAGGAGCCAGGCACTGAACCTCACTGGAGTTTGTCTCAGGCAGTCTCTGAATAGCTGTCATTCTCGAAAGATGCTAGGCCTTTAGACTCAGTAGTTGAAATAGCATTAGCAAGACAAGCTTTCTTCATCCCTCCATTTAAAAAAAAAAAAAAAAAAAAAAAAAAAAAAAAAAATCACTTTAAACCTCCTTGTCTTTAAATGTTAACTTGAAAAATATTTAGTGGCCTACCTTTCTGTGAAGTAAGATAAGAAAAGCTGCCATGATTTTTCAATCTGTCTGCAGGGAGTACAGGTAGAGAATCATCAAGGCACTGGGCTCAAGCTGTGGCAAAATTGATTGTTATTTCTATTACCAAGAGGTAATAGGCCAATACAATATAACACTTCCCTGGTGTAAACTAGTGATATTCACCCTGGACTTCTGGCTGTATAATCTATAATATTTTTGTAAGAATAAAGTCTAAAATTTATGATTCATTTTGAATGATCAAGTAAAAGCAGTAATAGAAGTTATAGCTTTAATGATGGAAGTAGGAGTACAAGAAAGGCTGTTGGCTAAGTTGGTAATTTGTAAGGCAGTTTTTACAGGGAGATGCTACAGGTTACTGTACAACCTTTCATCATATGAAAGCAGAAGACTAATCCTGAGAGTTAAAAACATGCTCAGAAATGAGTGGCTGTATCCTTAGTAAAATGTTAGGGTAGATTGCTCATAATGGTTTAAATAAAAACATGCATTTGTATATTTCATTAAATGTGGTAGTGTTAATGTTTAATAAATCAGCTGTTTATTAAAGGAAATTTTAAATATTTTGTTTTGTAGAATCTACATCTGAGGAGCCTGGACAAAGTGGGAAAGTGCTCAGGAGCAGGACGTTTATCATTAACTACAGGAAACACATAAAGGTATCTAATGTGACAAAAAAGAAAAATCCACGCAGATGTGCCACTCTAGCAGCTAATAAGATTAAGATAATGAGTGATACAAAGGAAGAGCTGTCGAGCTCAGAGAGTGTTTGCACAGTGAAGAAGAACAGAAGGCAGCTTCATGGCAGTGCATCTGCGGCATCCAAGAAAAAACTGATCAGCAGCTCAGATATAGATGTTAGTGTGATGTCTGAAAATGAGAAAGAACAGGATTCTGATGGAAAAAATGATTTTTGTTCTGGGTCATCTGCTCCGAAGAGAAAATACATTAGTGAGTCTGAAGATGAAAAAACGGAATCTGAGGTGGAGATAGAAGTGACTAAAAAGGAGAATGATGATAATGACGATCAGACAAAGAGAACTGAAAGTGATTCAGGTCTTAAGAATACATTTGACTCTTCAGAGGAGAATTCCACAAACCACAAGGTAGAAAATGGGAGAAAGTGGAGAACTTCTGGTCAGTCAACTTCAGCCTACAACCATCACATGAGCAACTCTGAAGAGGAGGTGGGCTCTGAGTTAGCTAAACGTGAAACTAAAACTATCAGAAGAGCACGGAAGAAAAAATCCAGAGCTCCTTTGAAAAGATTGAAATTATCAAATGACTTAAACGAAGCATCAGAATCTGCAGCAGGGAAGAAGGTAGAGGAAAAAAGCTCAGTATCAAAGAATGTGGAAACACGTGGAGCTGCAGGGAGCTCAAAAGCCAATCTCAACTGTTCTTCCGATTCAGACTCCGGAACTGATAACAGTATATACAGTAATGCCACAGAAACAAAAAAGAGAAAAACAGGCATCGTTAGAAAAAAAATTTCAAATTTACCTAAGCGTTCCAGAAGACCCCAGCGAAGGAAACGTCGGAAACCTAAGCAAGAAAATGACTCTGAAGATTTGGAATATACCAAATATAGAAGAGCTAACCGGCGTACTACGATAAGAACTCGAAACAGGGGTAGGCGGACTGTTAGATACGACGATTGCGACGACGACGACGATGACAGAGGTGTAGGTGATGCAGCTTGTGAAACGTAACCTTAAAAGGAAAAGCCAGCCCACTTTTTTTTTTTTTTTTAATGGTAATAGCACTAGAACTCATGTTGGATGCTGGCTCTTCCTTGTCCTACATTTCAGGGAATATATTTATATTTTTCTATGAAAAAGTTATGAATGTGATTAGATCATGACTTTCTCCTTTTCATATTTTGACTTGCACTTGCCTGCCCATGTAGCAGCATTTAGCACAGATGCCAAAATGTGCCTCATTATAGGGGCAATTTTTTTGTCTTTACTGGTATTTTATTACATATAACAAGAGTTTAAAAAAAAAAAAAGTTAAAACACTGCGTAACAGGTTAATAGCAGTATGTTGAGTATTATTGTTATGGGTGCTGCAATGGAATACTACCTAGGTCATTCAACATTCGAGAACAAATTTCAAACATCTCTAATGCTGTAAGAAATCATATACGATATTAACAGGCTTATAAATAATAGTGTACGCTATAAAAATTCAGCGGATGCTAGTATTGCATCAAACGAGTAATGAACAGTCACTGAGTTAACAGCATTACAGCTTCTGTTAGTACAGATGTTAAATGTTCTGTACGTTCATTAATGAAAACATACAACTAGAACCAGTTACCAGTTGAGAAAAGCGTATTTGCCACTTAAAAAAGCATATTGGTGCTGGTGAAGAGAGGGTTTATACTGACAGGTAGTACTATCATTAATGTGACTTCTATACTGTAAACTTAAGAATATGAAATGCAGGTGAACTCTTGGGCCTAAGGGTTTTTGTGTGTTTTCTTTATAAAATAGAAAAACCAACAAAACACTTGTTCTGTTTGTTGTTTCTTTTTTATGCGTGAGAAGTTGGAGGTGCAGGGTTCTTACATTCCAGACCATTTTTGCTAAATCTCTGTTGGTCTTCCACATTTAAACTTTTAAGTGCTTCAATGTTAGATTTTTGCACTGATTAAACGTATCGGTTTTGATTGCTGCCATTTATCTGCCAATTTTTGAAATGTTTGAGGTGGCTGTTGTCAAAAAATAATTATTACATAGAAGATGAATTGTCCGGGGGGAAAAAAAAAAAAGTATATACATTTTTGGTTGGTTATGCATCAAACAGGAGAATGCATATAGCACCTCTAAATTCTTTTCCCTGGAGCTGGTTAGGCCCCCTGCCAAATCACTGTCTTCAATCCAACACAAGGTGCTCTACTCCTTTCTCACTCTATGCTGTGGCTTTCCTGCCTCTCTGCTGGTTCAGTTTCTCAGGTTTCTCTGGTTCAGTAGGAGATAAGTCAAAGCAGTTAGCTGTGACTCAGCTGAAACTGAAACAGCAAGCTCATGAGTTAGTTTTCTAGCAGACTGGACAGGTAATAGCATCTTGAAAGGCTTTGGGGGAAAAAAGCCCAGATTCATAATCACATTTAGTAACATAGTAAGTGCTTTTACAACTGGCAGTGAAGTAATGAAAGTGCTGGCAGCAGTTACTGAGAAGCACTTCTCCAGTGTTGTTGCTGACATTTTGCCAAAAGGTGCACTGGCTATCACATTTTGGTATCTAGAATGTTATCTCAGTATAGAAAAGTAGAAAACTTCTGTATGAAGTCCAAGAATAAGCTAGTTTGTCACTTGCCTCAGGAGTTTTATTTATTTAGACTATAATTCTTAAATATAATGTTAGAATTTAATAAGCTCAAGATGTTTATTTGATTCCTTTAAGTTGGTACACGAAATAGGAACATGGTTGTGTTCAGTGAGGAGACCTGGCTCTTCTGAGCAGCTTTGTTAAAGACAGTAAGTGGTTATTTGTTACCCCTATGTGGATTGAACTGTTCAGCAGCTGCTCACGGTCACTGTTCTGTGAAATACAACCCTCAGTAGTTGGGTTCAATCTGTTACAAGGACTCCTTTTTAAATTTCTATTTTATTAAACAGTCAAATCTCAGTTTGGTAGGTTTGTATTTCTGATTCAGACTCAAAAAGATGTTTTTCTTTCTTGCCGTTCAGCCGCCCTGTCACACTGTGCTCACACACCATGGGTTTGTGATGGCCCTGAAGGCTGGGAGCAGCCTCTGGCCTCAGCTTTCCCATACCTGGGAGGGAACTGCTAGTTTAAGGAGCAGAACGCTTTATTTTATAGGCAAAGCAAATGCTGTTGTGTATCTCCTTGTTTTATAGACAGACCGGAGGAGAGGTAATTAAAGAGTTTTTGTTTCATTTGTTTTTCCTATCACCCGTATAAGAATGTATTTATTTTACTCTTCACTGACTGAACGCGTTCTCTCTTGGAACAGCAGTTCCTTCTATTGACTTGGCGTGGCTCTAGTCAGACCAAACGGGGCGATAAGGGGGGGCTGGGGACACACGCTCGGGCTGGAGCTGCCGGTCCTCCCGCCGTGCCCGCTCTCTATGGTCGGCGCGGTTAGAGCGTCGTGGCGCTGAGAGAAACTCTATGGTACCGGCGCAGCGGAGCGGCTCGGCGCGCTTGCGCGGTGCCCTCCCGCGGGGGAGAGGAAGGCGGGAGGCGGTGACGGCGAGGTGATGGCGACGTTCTTCGGAGAGGTGGTGATCGCTCCTTCCCGGGCCGGCGTGGACGATGAGGAGGAGACCGAGGAGACGGCTGAGGATAGGGAGATCCGCAGGGAGCTGCAGCAGAAAAGGTAGTGGTGTGGGATGCGAGCGCTGCGCAGCGCCGTGCTTCCCGGAGGGAGTTGCGAGCCCGGCCTCTCTCGGCAGGGAGATCACCGCGTTCTGGACGCCGGGAGCCGCCGGGAGCCCTGCCGAGGAACCCCTGCCGTGCTCCAGGTTCGTCGTCGCCGTAGGACACAACGCTGTCGGTAGGTGGGAAACCGAGCGCGTGGGGATGGAATGGCCAAAGCACGGTCCTTGTGCCAGCAGCACGTTGGGTTGGGTCGCGGCGCGATAATAGGAACGTGCTTTGTCTGCGGGTTTAACTGGGTTTAACCTCGTGCGTCATGCTCTTACCTGGATTGTTGGTTAATTTGCAAAACCTGCTTTTTGATAACGGCACGAAGCTCGGTGTGGTGCTTGTAAATAAAGCCGTGCAGTCATAAAGCTGTGCGTAAGTCATCTATGGCTCTTCTGCTTGTATTTCAGAATGTCTGAAATATCCCTGCTGTGCCCAGATGGCTTTTTACTACTGAACCAGATATGTGGGTTACACTTGTTAATATTACAAGTGTTATTTCACTCATCCTTTTTCTTTCTAAAGTTCTGGGATGTCAGTCATCTCTTCCTGCCTGAGTATGGGAAGCTTCTCTGAAACTTAACTGTTCTGATTTTGGAAATTTTCCAGGTCCTAATCATCCCCCTTCCCATTTAGTTTAACATTCTTGGCAAAATATGGATTACATACAGAAATTTCTGACTTTGAGTCCTCCTCACATTTTTTTAATTACCAGTGAGCAAGGATTTTTTTTGGTATAACTTCTTTCTTGTTCGGTCGCCTTCTTACACTTTGGTCCTATACTCGTTCGTAGTGCTCTGAGATGGTTACACATTGAAGTCTTGAGACAGCCTTTCCCCTTCCCATACATGCATACCATGGCCTTGAGCTTCTAAACAGCTGTTTCCCTTTGGATATGGAGTCATCTTAAGTCTTTTCTACATCTAGGTCATCTTTATCCTAGTTAACTTCCTCAACTTGTTTTTTTCTTTCTTGAGGATTTTCCTTTAAAAGTAGTTAAATATGCATTTTAGGTCTGCTCTTTTATAGGAACTACTTTGATTTATAGTAATTTGATTTAGCAGCTCTTTTGCCACTAAGTTGCATGCTCATGTGTCTGCTTCCTGGAGCCAAAGTTCTGCCTTGCTGACTTCTGTTATTTTTTCCTTAGAAATCTGTTGAATCTCATATGTCAAGAGCTACTAGAGACAAAATATTTAGTTGCACTTGTTATTAGTATATTCTGAAGGAATCCTAATTGGCTGTAGTGATGCAGTTCTTAATATGTGTTGTTAATGATAGAGATCTCTACCTATATGTAGGACAGTTCTTTATGTCTTGATTCAGCAAAATTACTCACAGTCTTCTCTGGATTTGGTTGAATGTCTGTCAATAAAAATGTTTTTACTGTACATTTTAATTTGAGGATATTGAAAAGAAATATTTCACTCCAACTGTTTATTTGTAGAATAGAGATTTTGTTCATTATAAATTAACATTAGCATTCTTTGCAGCTTTTCTGTCGTCTTTTATTCTGGATTCCTTATGTTGGAAAGTAGTTGGAGCTGTGAAACTGTGGAATGAGTGGTGCCAGACAACCAATGCAACAAGTGTCCTCCCAACAGATTCTTTCTGCTTGTTCTATCAATTAATATCAGATCCAACAGTAAGTGACTTATGTGTGGATTTCTGTGTATTTTAGTATTCTGAAAAAGGGAGCAAGCTCCTTTCATCCCCACCTTGCCCAGCACAAACAGGATAAAACATTACAGCTATGGCATTTTGGATTATTCTCACAAGAAGATATGAAGGGTTTTTATGGTCACTAAAACCACTTTGAGTTCTGGCTTGTGGAGTTTAAAGCAAAGATGGTATTACAGAATTACAGAATGGCCCAGGTTGGAAGGGACCTCAAGAATCATGAATCTCCAGCCCCCCTGCCACATGCAGGGCCACCAACCTCCACATTTAATACTAGAAAGGCTGCCCAGGGCCCCATTCAACCTGGCCTTGAACACCTCCAGGGACGGGGCATCCACAGCCTCTCTGGGCAGCCTGTGCCAGCACCTCACCACTCTCATAGTGAAGAACTTCCGCCTGACATCCAACCTAGATCTTCCCTTCCTCAACTTAAAACCATTTCCCCTTGTGCTGCTGTTCTCTACTCTTTTGAAGAGTTGATTCCCCTCCTGTTTATAGGCTCCCTTTAGTACTGAAAGGCTGCAATGAGGTCCCCCCTACATGGTGAAATGTTTCATGTGAGGCTGCGAATGAAAAACTTGTGCTAAAACAGAGATGAAGAATCCCAGGAGTACCAAACAAGTTGTTGACTGTAGTCATACCACCTTTACATGTGATTGTAAGCTACTATTGTGTTCTATAAACAAATTAAACAAAATTTTTTTTTTTCTTTTCCTTTGTCAGATTTTGTTGTGCCAGTGTAGTTGCTATGTTGCTGAAGATCAGCAGTTCCAGTGGCTTGAAAAGGTATAACTGCAAGACAGCATATTGAGCAATGAAATCTTAGGACCTTCAAGTTAGTGCATCTGCCTCTTCTCTCTACTCTTCTATACCTGACAGTACTGTAAATAGCTTTTTTTTTTCTTTTTTTTTTTTTTTTTGCTGTGACTTAAGTACTCAACAAATGTAGAATTAGTGAATTCTGTGAAATTCTTTTCTAGATGTTGCCAGTTATGTTTACCATAACTCACTGTGCAGTTACTTTTTTGGAGAGTTTCAATTTTGGTCCTTTCCTGTTTTACAAACTTTTTCCTGTTCATCTTCTCAGTGACTTGTTTCAACTGGTATTTCAGCTCTGGGAGAATCCTTCTGTAATGAAGTTATAACATAATTTGTACAGCTGCCAGATAAGCATTGTAAAAATTCAGGGTAGATGATGTCTTCACAAATGGGTGTGATCTGTTTCTTTCACAAGGTGGAAGTCTAGAAGAAGCTGCTTCCGAAGTATTATCTGTCCTGTTTGTCAATCTACTCAGATTGCTGTATGGGCAGCCTTATTGTGATTCAAGGATGCAAGTACTGCTAGTCATTCAGATTCTCACCCCTCCCCAAATAATATCCTTTTGATTTTAGTAAAGTAACTCCAGGGGGAATTTTCAGGCTGTTGATTTTTGGATATGCGTCCCAGTCCCATCCTAGCCTCAAGGGAGGTGTGGTTTATTTGGTTGTTGTGGTTTAATCCTGTGGGCAGCTCAGCACCACACTGCTCGCTCCCCCTGCTCTCGGTGAGATGTGGAGAGAACTGGGGGCAAAAAAGGAGAGCTTACAGGTAGAGATAAAAACAAAAAACAAAACTGTTCACTAAAAAAAGGAAGAGAGAAATAATACTATATATGATCACCATCGTTACTATATGTGTGTGTACACACACAGAACAAGTGGAGCACAAAGCAGCTGCTCACTACTGCTGACTGATGCCCAGCCAGTCCCCAAGCAGCTTTGTCTCCTCTGCCAGCTGTCTAAGCCAGCACGTAAGGAGGATTATGTGGGTGCAGGGGAAAATTGTACAAGAGAACCACAACAGTTGTGGGAAGGCAAAGGAGATGAAATTCTGGGGTAACTTTGTTGAGTGTTACAGGGATTTCAGACCCGCATTTGTGGAAAACTGGTTTTCTTGTCATTCCATGGCTGGTTGATAAGTTTATTTGACCTGGTGAGGCATTAGTGGTTGATTTGAAATTTTAGAAACCTTGGAATCTTAAGCGTTGTGGTTTTTCTGTATTCCACGCTTTCTTGCACTTCGTTTAAATTGGGAAAAGAAAGATTTTTGTGGTTTGCACTGTCTTTTCCATTTCTGTTTTTCCAGCTGCTTGTGTATGTATTATTTCAAATGTGAGTGGTTTTGAACAGTAGAAGTGTACAGTTTTAACTGAGTCAGTGTTACTGAGTATTTAGAATTTACAGCTAAGTTGTTATGCTTTTGCTTTTAGCTTGAGTTATAGGTCTGTTCTGTATTCTTTGTATATCTCACTAACTGGAAATTCTCACAGTTTCCACGAGCCAGACTTTTTCATTTGTGCTCTCAGTAAATGATCACTGACAAAATAAAGATGTGAACTTTTGCAGAACTTCTCTTGATACCAGCAGTGTTCCCAGGCAGAGTGAACAGTTGTCATTTCACCTGGCAGGCAGATAAACACCACACTGGCATTAGCTCATCCCTACCCTGCCATGGGATGAGGGACAAAATTGAAAAGCACAGAGAACTGTGGGTAAGAGATAAAGGCAATTTAATAAAAATGGGACTGGGAAGAGGAAAGAAAGGAGTAAAACAAACTGTAGCAACAAAGCCAGTCAAAACAAGTGGTGCACAATGCAGTGTAGTAGCTCACCACCAGCCAGTATTGGAGCAGTGGCAGTCCCCCTGGCCAGCTCCCCCAGTTTTGTTGTTCAGCATAACACCACATGTTATGGGACGTCCACGTAGGCCAGAGTCAGCTGTCCTGGTTCTGTCCCCTCCCAGCTCCCTGTGCCCCCTCAGCTCCTTGCTGGCTGGGCAGTGCGAGGAGCTGAAATGTCCTTGGCTCTGTGTAAGCACTGCTCAGCAACAACTACAACAACAGTGTGCTATCAACGTTATTTTCATCCTAAATCCAAACACAGCACCATACCAGCCACCATGAAGAAAATTAACTCTATCCCAAACAAAACCAGGACAGTAAACATCCCATTAATTTAAAAATAAGTGCTTCTGAAAAGTTACATCAGTTTTGTATTACAGTGGTAGCACACTGATGTAAAGGAGTCATCAGGTCCACTTCTGTGATTGGTGCTAGGTACAGAAATAGGCAAGCTTCTATAATGTTTACCAAATGCCTTATTTCCTTTCTGATCATAAATCTGGAGGAGAGGGTTGAGAGGGAAAGTGCACATTTCTCATACTTCCCATTTTGACATAGATTCTTTCAAAACAGTGAAGGGCTGTGCAGTATGTTTTGTGATGGTGTGCAGTAGATCCAAATACATGTTTTGCGTGATATTATTTTAGGCTTGTTTGACTTTGAGGGAAGCTGCAGGAAAAAAATATTTTCTCAATTCTCTGTTCAACTTGAGCGTAATTAAATAAAATCTGAGTATTTGAAAATGAGTCATCATAAATTTAAGAACAGCGTAAATCAGAAACAACATCTGGGGAGCACAATTTCAATTTGTAATGTCTCTGAACCCACTGAGCTACCTTGCTGTTACAAGCAACCTGGTTTTTATTTGGAGTTGTTTTTTCTTCTGCTGTCACCCTTAGTAAAAATAGTAAGCCTTAATATATTTGCAGGTGAAAGGATAGTGCTGAAAATCTGAAGCTTCTCAAGAAGACTAGTACACTTGGTAAATATGTTAGCTCTTTGTTCTCTTCATTTTTTAACTTCTGTCGTGAAAGGAACCCACATGGAATTTCCATTCAAGGGATTGTGAATCAAATTTTAGTTAGCCTTCCAAGCAAAGACTGCTCTTTGCTGCCTGCACTCAAATTGAAATTCATGTCTGTGTTTTTAACATTGTTAATGTGAGAAGAAAAACGTTCCTTTATCGGCACAATTTTCCTTACAGGTTTTTGGCCATATAAGGAAGGAAGGCTTACAAGTAACCATTCTTTCAACATGCCCTGTCGCTGAGTATAAAACTCAGGAATCCACTCTGACCCTTCCATCTCCATTTCTGAAAGCCTTGAAGACGAAAGAATTCAAAGAGGAGGTCTGCTGTCCACTGCTGGAGCAACCAAACATTGTGCGAGATCTTCCTGCTGCTGGTATTTTTTCAGTCTCACAGTGGCAATATAAAATTTGCTTTGAAGAAAATCCGTTTGTAATTCTAACTTTTTACTTGATGATGTGAATTGTCGACCGGATCGGCTTTTTTGGAAATTAATTCCTAACAATTCACCATCTTAGATGTTGCCTTGTAAAATATGAACACGTCCAGTTTGAGGTTCATAAGCTCTTTCTGCTTGTTAGAGGTAACAGGTTTCATGATGCTGCTGATCGGCCTCGTGTAAAGGTTAAATTTGGTTTTATCATGTGCTGTAATGAAACCTCTGTAAGGCTTTTCTGTATAGAGTACCAAATTAATGTTAGCATCCATGAGGAAAACCTCATCTGGAAAGAGCTAAAAGTTGGATGATTTTTCTAAAAAAAATATCTGTAGTTTGCATTTTTGTTTCATTCCAATAAAAGCTCACATTGCCTTAGTTTGTTAATTAAACATTGCTCTTGAAGATATTTACCAGCAAAAAAGATGGAACTGTGCATTACTGCTTTTTGATAGTTTATTTTCTCATGTGCCTGTTCGCTGCTGAACGTAACACGTTTTGTTTTCATTTGTATCTAGTTCTGAGTTACTGTCAAGTATGGCAGATTCCTGCAGTACTGTACCAGTGCTACACTGATATCATCAAACTGGACACGGTTACAATTGAGGCATTCAAACCTCTGCTTTCTTCTAAGTCCCTGAAGAATTTAGTCAAGGTAAAATTCCATATTTAAAAATTAATGAGAGATTTGGTCTGTCTTTCTATTTCACCAGAATTTAGGTGGTGATATGACCCACCTAACCTGTAAAGCCTAACTGATTTATGCCGTATCTGAAAGCTTCTTAAATGTTGGAGCTACTAACTCAGTTATAAAGATGATACAATGTTTTTGCGCTAACCCAGAAAATCAAGGTATTCTGGGATGCTGAGGTGAATGTTTTGCTGCTTTCTGAAACACTTTAATCAAAGTATAGTCGGTTCACATTGCACAACGCCCTCCTCAGTTTTGCCAGTTGGACTTCCATTTCAGTGATAGAAGGCATTTGCGTGTATTGAAGTACTTACTTCAGCTTGAAGTATGGAAATTATCAGTTAGCTTTCTTAAATGTTTAAACTTAAAACAGGTTTACACTGGAACAGGTTGCCCAAGGAGGCTGTGGATGCCCCATCCCTGGAGGCATTCAAGGCCCGGCTGGATGTGGCTCTGGGCAGCCTGGTCTGCTGCTTGGAGACCCTGCACATAGCAGGGAGGTTGAAACTCGATGATCTTTGTGGTCCTTTTCAACCTAGGCCATTCTATGGTAATGTACTCATTTACATCTATGGAAGGAAAAAAACAGTGAAAATGCAGGCTCTTCCTCCACTGTAAAAGAGGAAAAAGCCAAATTGATAAAATCCATTGCATTGTTAAACTGCAAGTTCCTTTTGGTGCCTTTGAGAGTTTTCTAGCTACTTTCATTGAGGTGATATTTGTTTACAATTAACATGTTTACCAGACAGATACTCATAATATTGAAAACAGGAACGGGTGATAGCGAGGGTTGGTGGGTTTTGGTTTGTTTCTATTTTGTTAACAGGGATGTAGCTAATGCTGATTGTCATTTCCTTTTCCTAGGATGTATCCGAAAGCACAAAGATTTTGAAGAAGTTGCTGACAACTGGTGAAACTCACAATAATATCTATATCTAAAGAGGACACTTGCAACACGGATGACACTTGTTTTAAATTCCAGTTTCTTCCAGAGATGGCACTTTGAAATTGTAGTTATTTCTTTAAAAGTGGAATAAATTCTACTTGATTTTTACTTCTGAATTCATTTTGGTTGCTTTCTAGTTCATCACAATAAACACACTTTTTTTTTCTGTAGGGATGGAAGACTTTCTCCAGGAGCAGCTTTGTGAGGAAAGATATCTTAGATATGAAAAGCGATTTCTTCTTCCTGAAGGAATTGTCATATCCAAATTGACTCCTCACATATACGAAAGAGTAAATATGGTCAATGTATTCTTGTCTATTTTCTACTTCAGCTTATATTACCTAACTTAAAGATTCCTGCCGTGAAGAAAATATTATGTGCATCTTTTTATGTATGTATATGTATGTACATGTGTATATACATATTTTTTAATAGTGATACCTTTTAAGGAATTGCTAATGGAAAATAAGCTTGCTTTACAAAGAGGCAGGAATGCAGGTCTTGTTTGAACTCATGGGAGAGCTGTGAATTGGATTCACTGAGTAAAGGATCACAGCAATTCAGAATGGCACTGCCTGCAGATCAGGCAGGAAGAGGTACGTGCCCAAATTCAGTTCCCATTTGCAGTACCTCATCAAGGACTTGTGTTTCTTTGCAGCTTCAGTCGGAGTTATTGAAGTGCAGGAGCTGGCTTTCTGTCAGATTTTGGACAGAGGCAGGAACCATCATGGCAGTAGGCTTGTAAGGTGCTTCAGCAGGGTTCGCCAGGACAAACCTTGACATTTATTTCACAAAGTCTTTTATGCTGAATGCATAAAATGCTGAATGGAAGAAGGTAGGCATTCAAATTCTAAAGCACTTGAAAAAACTCTGAAACACTGACAATTTCACAGTGTATTTAAAGTACTTGTTAGAGTTGGCATGCAGTTTTGACTTGCTGAACTAAACTGCATATACACGTTTTACTTAAGAACATGGTGATTAAGAAAATATGCTTTGCTGGTGTTGTTGGTGAACAGAGATCTTTAAATTGCACACAGCTTATCCTTTGGTGTAAAAAGAATATAGCAGTTTTGGAGTTCTCTGCTTCCTTTGACTTACACTGGGTGTTCAGTGAAACTTTCTGAACATATTTCTTTCATGAATCTGCCATCCCTTCTGGTTGGAAAATTGTTGGCTGAGTCAGTGTCTGCTGAAGTAATTCCAGGCTTCAGCAAGCCCACTGTAACTTCTGTTAGTTTGAGGTTTTATTTGATGTTTTAAACTGCTCACTGTATCGTGGTTGCCACTGTAGTAGGACATTCTTGATGTGGGTTTAAAGTTGACTTACTCAAGACATTGTTTTCAACTTCAGTTAATAGAGTTAGAGTTAAGCAAGTAACTGTTACTTGAAAGGGTTCTCTGTTTTCAAATAGACTTGTGAAGTGCAGGATATGGTTCCTCCCATGTTGGTTTTTTTTTTTTACTTAATTTTTTTTTTTTACTTTTAATTAAAACCCATTTGTGCAACTGCTCTGAGTTGGGAATTCTGTTGCTCTGGAAGATTTGTTTGTTGGCTGCACCAGTTTCTTACTTGCACACTGTATGTGTTTGGTTAACAATAAAGTATATAACAAGAAAAATATTTCATAAAAATAGGCAGGCTCTTACAGGAACTGTAAATATACTTCTAGTACTGCTTTTATTACCTATGCAGTGTTTAAAAGTGTTATCCCTTGAGCTGTAATTCAGTTTTTACCAGTTGAACTTATGCTGAGATGTGAGAACGCTCTTAAACACCTTGAATCATAAAACCATAGAATGGCCTGGGTTGAAAAGGACCACAATGATCATCCAGTTTCAACCCCCCTTGCTATGTGCAGGGTCACCAACCAGCAGACCAGGCTGCCCAGAGCCACATCCAGCCTGGCCTTGAATGCCTTGAATGGGGCATCCACAGCCTCCTTGGAAAAACAAGCAGGAGCTTTTTTTTTGTTTTCAGTTTTGTTGTTGTTGTGTTTTTTAATAATAGTGATAAAACTCAAGCAGTTTGGCAATTAAAAGACTGAAAACTCTTGCATAGTTGTAAGTTTATTTATTAACCTTTGGAGCATTCTGTCAGAGGTTGCGATTGGTCTCCATAGACTGGAAACATCTACCTGGGATGTGATGATTTGGTTAGATATCATTTGGCTGGTTTTACTCCCCTGCATCCAGGTGTTTCCTTCCAGCTGTGATCCACCCTGCAGGTGAGGTCAAGCTTTGTGCTATACTAGTTCCCACTGGTGTGAATCTGTCAGTCTGGACATGTGCATACTGTTACTGTGCAGTAAGCCAGGCTTGTTTTGGAGTCACAGATGCACTGTGTTGGAAGGGACCTTAAAGATCTTCCATTCGTGCTTTTGTTACAGATTTAGGCACTTCTCCTCCCTTCCCCCTCCCTTAAGCCAGCCCTCCTTGATGCTCCATCACAACAATGTGGAAGTCTCCCCCACTGACTCCTTTTCCTCTCGGAGGGTGTGAACAAGGCCCAAGAAGGAGGAATTTTTCTGCTTCCACAGTGTAGATGTCAAATGTAGAAAAAAGGTGAAAATTAAATGATAGTTTCTAAAGGTTTGCAGTTCTTAAATGTAGACATTTTCCTGAATAGATTGTGGCTTCTTTCCCTACGTTTTCATCAGAGGACTGTGGAGTGCTTTCTTAATGGTAAACACACTGTATTTCATATGCTTCGGATTGATATTTTAATTCTTCTGTTGGGTCAGATTCAGACTTTTGATCCTTTTTTCATGGTTTACTGAAACAGACTTATTTTTTCCACTGGCTCTTTAAAGCAAATGTACTGCCTCATAGGGAATTAATGACCCAGGGAAGGAAGGTAGAAGGGTCCCCACGGTGATTCAGGGGCAGCACTGTCGTGGCACAACAGATGTGGCAGAGACACAGTCTTCCTTCAGAAAAAATTCCATGAGTAGGAAGGCTGCAAATAGAAGATCTGTAGCTGCACTAATATAGAAGAAGCCGTATGGGAAAGGAGACAGTAGAAAAAAAAACAAACAACAACAACACTGATTTGCTGATCATCCTATGAAACTGGGGTTTGAGGTGGTTCTTGAAAAGTAGGAGAGGTGTTCAAGGTGTGCTAGGTGTCTCCTGCTGGCTCCCACAGGTGACAGAGGACACCTCTATGCTGCTCAGTTTAATTTGTCTCTGAACTAGATTGAGATGTGTATTTTCAATGCTGAACAAGCACAGAGGTCACCTGCAAAATACTGTGCCAGACCATTTCTCTAAACCCTGGAAAGTACTTGCAACAAACCCTGTGGATAGTTAGGAACAGGCAGTTCCTTTGTGCGTTCCTTGGGAAGTGCTGGTACAGAGCACCAGGAGCAGTTGGTATGAGCCCCCAGTGGGACTCTACCCATTTGCTTTGTGCAGAGTGACAGGAAATGAGCACTCCTGAGATGGTCTTACAGTACCACACGTGCTGCTGTGCAAAGTGGATTCGTAGGAAAGTGGCTCAGCGATTTCTCTCACTGCTTTTAGTTCTGTATGTTCTTCCACTTTGCTACAAGTTGGATAAGGGCATGTGTGAGGAACCTCTTCATATGTAGGAGTGATAGGACAAGAGGGAATGGCCTCAAGTTGCACCAGGAGAGGTTCATGTTGAATATTATGAAACGTTTCTTCTGAGCAAGAGCAGTGAGGCAGTGGCACAGGCTGCCCAGGGAGGTGGTGCAGTCACCGTCCTTGGAGGTGTTCAGGAGCCGTGTGGATGTGGCACTGAGGGACGTGGGCATGGTGGGGGTGGGCTGATGGTTGAACTGGGTGATCTTGGAGATCTTTTCCAACCTCTAAGGTTCTATGTTCATTCACTTTAATGGAGCACGTCAATGTGGAGGTGATGACACAGGTCAGAAATAAAAACTGCAGGCTGTTTAGGTCAGTGGCACCCACGACTGATGACACAGCTTTCTAAAGCACATGTAAATGTTGGTTTTCAATGAACTTAGTAATTGCATTTAAAAGAAAACAAAAATGTTTTTCCAAGTCAGCGCTGTAGATCAGATTTTGTATTGGTTTATTCTTGAGATGTTGTATGGTTTGGTTCTGATTTGGGCTCAGCTACATCTGATGCCATTCTCCACCAGGCAGCAGGTTCTCATCCTCAATGTGGTGACTCCATCAGGGCAAGGTAGAGGACTCAGGGCCCTCCATAATGGTCAGTTGTCTGGGAGGTAAGCCAACCATGCCTTCTTAGCTTCAACATGTGGCTTCCAGACATCAGCATCCCGTGCGTGTTATGAAAATTCATGAGTATTGAATTGAACCCATATTTTAATGATTTGGCCACCTGTATCATATCCTAATAATCTTAAAATAGAGGACTCGAGGTCCTCTGGATAATTATTTGTAGCAGATGTTAAATCTTTGGTGTATTTGACACACTTACACACTGGGGGAATGATATTAAACATCATGCTAACCAAAATAACCCAAAACATATTTATTTCAAAGAATTAGAATGGTTCATAGCAGGAAGTGGATGCGGGAAGCTGTGTCCGTTGTTGTGGTTTGTTTTAAAGGTGTGCTTAAAACAAGATGAAAAGGGCTTTGGTCATTGCTGCACTTGGACAGTGTTATTCATGTGTTTCAAAGGCAAAAAGTGTTTTTTGTCTTTTGTTCCAGCGACTTACCCAGCTGTTATTTTCTGGCCCACTTTCTTTTTTTATTGTTGTTATTATTTTTGATACACTTAAGCATTCTGACCTTAAAAGTGTAATTATGGGGTGAGAAATCTAAAGTGTCAAACCCATTTTGTGATGACTGAAAAAAGATCCCTTTGGTCAGGCCTTGAGAGTCAGAAACTCACTGACCATGCATCACCCAGCTGTGCAGGAAAGGTGCAGCAATCCCAAGTTGTTCAGAAACAGGCTTGAAGTAGCATTTATGTGTGCTGTACTTCTGGTATTTGGTAAGATAGGTTGAGGGAGATGGTTCAGCCTGGAGAAGAGAAGGCTGCAGGGAAACCTCACTGCTGACTTTATAAAGGAACTTCCAAACAGGAGGAGGACTGACTTCTAACATAGGTAGATTGCGATAGGTCAAGGAGGAATGGTTTCAAGCTATGAGAGGG